AAAGCCTCCAGTGTCGGAGCCTCTGTCGGAGCAGTGGCTGGACTTGTGTGCATCACCCCTGGAGCTGGCTTCGTGACACCTGGCTGGAGCATTGCCATTGGTGCCTTGGGTGCTGTTTGGTGCTATGTCTCCGTAGAGGTGGTGAACAGGGTGAATTTGGTGGATGACACTTTGGATGCCTTTGGCTTGCATGGCATGGGTGGCATCGGTGGGGCCATTTTGACAGGCATTTTTGCATTGGACGGTGGCCTGATCTACACCGGTAGCTTCGAGTTGTTGGGCAAGCAGATTGCAGGTGCAATGGCAGGTGTGGCCTTCTCAGCCATTGGCACTGCCATCATTGTTGTGGCCTTGAGGCTAGTGATGAAGCTGCGAATTCCCGAAGAGCAGGAGGTTGAAGGTGTGGACCAGCACACACATGGTGAGACCTACCACAGCCCAGTCAAGAAGTACCCCCAGACGAAGGGATCTGAGTCCACTGAAGCATCAGACAGTGTCTGAGTTTGCTGATGAATCTTCCATCATAATTCATTGGTTCATTTGGACCATTTAGGCATCGGACGAGGGTGGAGTCCTTGTCAAAAATGTTTACGCAGTTTACGCATAGATTCGGCGCTTTGCAGCTCGAATTGATCCCCGCAAAGATGGGGTGTTTGCCAGTGTGCTCGTGGGAACTCACGAGCAACTTTTATGTTTGCTGTCCACAACAAGGATAGAAAAGCCGCATCACCGCATAGCTTTCCACAGAGCTATTCTATTATATACTATACAAGGTTTTTGTAGAATCAAGTTGGAATCATTTGCATTCATTGTGCAGTTGAATGATATCTATATACTGTTGATAGAGAGAAGAATTCAAGAATCTCACACCACCAAGTACGAGGCAGCTCGAGGTGAAGGAGTTAGCATTTTGTGATGGTGCACAGATATGACGAATTAGTTACGTCAGCGGAGCACTGATGGTGTGTCAGGATTGGGTGCACCAGCGGAAGCAGAACATTTGATTGTCTATTAATGCTGCAGGCTCCTGGCAGAACATTTTTCTGAATAGTCTTGCTTTTTGTTGGTTCTTTTGTGAGCTTGGAGATGTTGAGGAAGACGTAGGTGATGATTTGTGAGTGGCCCTTGATCGTCATGTACTTGGATTCTGAACATCCTGCCAGGAGAGGCTCTTTTGACCCTTTGTTCCGGAATGGCTCAAGGTGCAGTTTTGATCTTCCAAGCAGTTGCCAACCCGTTTCAACAAAGTAAACGAGAGCCATGGCAAATCCTGCCCTGACTGAAGATGCCGTGAACACGGGTGCAGTTGCATGGGTCTTGACCTCTGCAGCTTTGGTGTTCTTGATGACAGCCGGACTTGGCTTCTTCTATGGTGGCTTGGTGAGAGACACGAACGTCATCAACACCATGATGATGAGTGTAGCATCAATGGCCATCGTATGCTTGACCTGGGTCGTCTTCGGGTTCTCTTGGGCCTTTGGAGACAATGGCGGTGCAGCCATTGGAAACATCGTGGGGAACTTTGACTACAGCCTGTGGATGAACCTGGACATGAAGATGTGGGGTGACTCCGGTCTTCCTGGTCTTTGTTTTGCAGCTTTCCAGATGACCTTTGCCATCATCGCTTCAGCCATCATCTCGGGCTCCTTGGTTGAGCGCATGCGCTTCAGCGCATATTCCATCATGTTGGCCTTGTGGTCTTTGCTGATCTATGCCCCACTCTGCCATTGGGTTTGGGGCCCCGGTGGATGGATCGCCGAGATGGGAGCTTTGGATTTTGCTGGAGGCACAGTGGTGCACATCAGCTCTGGCGTGTCCGGGCTGGTTGCAGGTGCCATTGTCGGACCCAGAAGGCATGTGGAGAAGGAGCTGGGGCCTGCCAATGCTCCTTTCGTGATCCTTGGTGGTAGCCTGCTGTGGTTTGGCTGGTTGGGCTTCAACGGCGGATCTGCTTTGTCAGTGAGCGATGGTGTGGCGGCCCGTGCTGTGGCCACCACATTTGTCGCAGCAGCTTCCTCCATGTTGACCTGGTTGATGTTGGAACGTCTTCTGAAAGGCAAAGCCTCCAGTGTCGGAGCCTCTGTCGGAGCAGTGGCTGGACTTGTGTGCATCACCCCTGGAGC